GAGAGGATGGTGGGACCCCTTGATTCACAGCCAGTCTAAATTAGAAGTACCAGTGGCTTAGAACTTGCAACTGGTGTCTGTGAGTGAGAATGGCCCCCTTTACCTGTGGGATCTGACACTAACTCCAGGTAGGCAGTGTCAGAATTGAACGGTACTGTCAGACACCCGGTCGGTGTCTGGAGAACTGGTTGGTGTCAGGACACACATCAGGACAGAAACAGAACATTTCCATTAATCACAGAAAGTTCTATTTGGACAATATCATGATAGGGGAAAGAAAATCTAGTTTAGATCTGAATACTGGGAACGGAATTTCAACTCAGTAGTAAACAATTCTGAGAATAGAAGCCTGATAAAAATAACTCAGATTAGAGTCTACCTTTCTGAACCAAAATGTAAAAATCTGGAGACCCGAGTTATTTCATAGCTCAGTCCTTTCAGGGTGGGACTTAATAATCTTCCCCTTTAAGAGCGGAGGATCTAAAATTCACTGCAGCTGCTCAACTTATCCAATAAACCTGTAGAAGAACCAGGATTCGAACTCAGTTTCCACCTAATTATTTGGCTCCCTGAGCTCTCCCTCTGTGGCTGATCCCACTCAGCACAGCGGGCAAACCGACAGATTCACGTGTAAGCTGGCAGCCACCTTTGGAGGCACCATCTGACAGGGCATGCACACCAGTGAGCTGACTGACTGCTGGACCGTGGTAGGCCTTTCATCCCCACATAGTCCCCAAATTGTCACATAGATGCTCAAGTAAGGATGGGATTTTCAGATTCTGGCAGCTATGGCAAGTACACGAAGAAAATCTGTCTTCAGACCAAAAGAGGTGTATGCCCTATAGGCACCGGGGTGAGTTTCCACCTCATTAAATCCCAGTCACCATAAAATGAGAAACTATTACAGATTGCTTACCGCTAGCTTGGAAACTGCTTGGTAAGCCGTTTATAATGCCAAAATGCAATTTGCAGCATAGTAGTCTCCAAGGCTAGAGCACGGTTTTATTATCCAAAGATCAGCTATTGGACTTTATTTAAAATTTTTTTGTTTTAAAAATAGCAGGAAGTGTAAGTCCTTCTCCCATGCCTTCCTAAGCAAGTCGACCTCCCCAGAGGTAACTACTGTTAACGCTTTGTTGGACATGCTTCCAGACTCTCCCAAACACACAGGGGGTGGGCAAAAGTAGGCTTACAGTTGTGAGTACATGAAACCGAGTTTATTCTTATATTATTCATTTGTATTAAAACTGTAAACCTACTATTGCCCATCCCTGTAGGCAATGATTTCTAAAATACACTGGCACACGTACACATACATTAAAAGGGGAGGGGGGTCATGCTATACAGACTCTTTTGCAATATGCTTTTTCATTTTATTATCTTGGACATCTTTCCATTTCAGTACATTGAAAGTTACCTTGTCTCATGGATTCTGAGAAGCACTTCCCACATACACACTTTACCATCTCTGAAATTAGAATGTTTCTTATAATCCATAGTGTTTTACAACTGCCATCAGCTGGGTATCACTGTGGTAGAATTGTAGGAAAACTTTCCATTGACCTTTTCTGGTAAAATGAGGATGGCATCGGCATCCCAAGATCTTAGAATACAGTTACCATTCATTTGCACTGTCCACTGTATAGATGTATGTAATTTATTTAACACTGTATTAAAAACTAAATTCTCTGAATAATTGCTAAATTAAAGGGCAAGTATATTAAAAATATAAATAGACATTGCAAAAACATGTAACGATTTATGCTCCCAATAATAAGCAAAACTATTGCTGGAAATACCCATTTCCACTACCGGTATTAATAGCAACCTTTAAAATATTCACTAATCTCAAAGACCTTCAGAGTGTTTTAAATCACTTTAAAAAAAAATTTAAGATAATTTCAGATTCACTTATAGTTGAAAGAAATATTACAGAGACCCCGTGTTCCCTTTACTCAGTTTCCTCCAAAGATAACATTTTGCAAAACCAGAGAACACTATCACAACCAGAACATCTGTATTAATATGCGATATAATAAGATATAAATATTTGGGCCCTGGCTGGTGTAGCTCAGTGGATTGAGCACCAGCCTGTGAACACAAAGGTTGCTGGTTCAATTCCTACTCAGGGCACATGCCTGGGTTGTGGGCCAGGCCCCCAGTTGGGGGCATGCAAGAGGCAACCAATCAATGTTTCTCTCACACATTTCTCTTTCACATTAATATTTCTCTTCCTCTCTTTCTCCCTCCCTTCCCCTCTCTCTAAAAATAAATAAAATCTTTTTTTTTTAAATAAAAGACATACATATTTGGTCTTTGTTCCTGGTATAGGGCTCCTAAACTCTTGGAATTTCCTAAGTGATCAGAATGCCTTATTATAGGACAAGCCCCTTTCAACCGTATCCAAGTTCATGCTATGAAGTAACTATTGGTGAGCCCCTAGAGAACTTCAAGATGCAGTCTGGTAAGCTTGAGAGGAACCAATCATGCGATTAGAAGGTGAGAACTTTCAGCCTTATTCCCTGACTTTCAAGGACAAAGGAGCGGCCAGAGATTGAGTTAAATCACCAAGGTCAATGATTTAATCAATCGTGCCTATATGATAGAGCCTCCATTAAAAAAAAACAAAACTCCTAACCAATAAGGCCTGGAGAGCTTCCGAGTTGTCGGATAGATACATCCCCATGCCGCCAGGATGATACACCTCAACTCGACTTGGGACTGTTTTTAGACTTCGTCCTTTATACTTCCTCATTTGGTTGTTCATTTGTGTCATTTATAATAAATTTTATGAGTAAGCAAAGCATTGTCTTCAGTTTTTTTGCGTTGTTTTAGAAAATTACTGAAACTTGGGAGGGTGGTATGGAAACCTTTAAATTTGTAGCCAAGTCAGACAGATGTGTGGGTAACCTTGGGGACTCGATACTGGTAACTGTGTCCGCAGTCTTGTGTGACTAAGCCCTTAAACCTGTGGAGCCTGATGCCACCTTAAGGTAGTGTCAGAATTGAATTGTAGGATACATGGTTGGTATCAAAGAATCAGAGAATTGGAGAACTGGCTGTTGATTCCATACCACATGCTGGGATGGCAGCAGAAAGAAAAGCAGTACTAATGCATGCTACAAAATGGATAAACCCTGAAAACACGCTAAGTAAAGAAGACAATAACAAGCCCTGGCTGGCGTAGCTTAGTGGACTGAGCTCGGGATGTGAACCAAAGTGCTGCAAGTTCGATTCACAGTCAGGGCACATGCCTGATTTGCAGGCCATGACCTCCAGCAACCACACATTGATGTTTCTCTCTCTCTCTCTTTCTCTCTCTCTTTCTCTCTCTCTCTCTCTCTCCCTTCCCTCTCTAAAAATAAATAAATAAAATCTTAAAAAAAAAAAAAAGAAGACAATAACAAAAGACCACATGTGCAAGTACATAAACACAGAAAGCAGCCCTGGCTGGTGTGGCTCAGTGGATTGAGCACCAGTCTGCAAACCAAAGGGTTGCTGGTTTGATTCCTGGTCAGGGCACATGTCTGGGTTGCCGGGCCAGGTTCCCCAGTGTGGGGTGTGTGAGAGGCAACTACACATTAATGTTTCTCTCCCTCTCTTTCTCTCTCCCTTCCCCTCTGTCTAAAAATAAATAAAATCTTTTTTAAAAATACCTTTAACAAGAAAAGGAAAAAAAGAAAAAAGAAAGCAGACTGCTGGTTGCCTAAAGCTGGTGAGGAAAGAGGGATGGTAATAGAAAATGTGGGGTGACTATTAATAGGTACAGAATACGTTTTTTGGGGGGATGACAAAAATGTTCTCAAGTTAGACTGTAGAGATGGTTGCAAAGCTCTGCGAACACAGTAAAAACCAGTGAATTACACACTTTGGGTAAAATATATGGTATGTGTTGTATTTCATTAAACTGTTTTTAAAAAGAATGTTATATAAATGGGATAGTAAAGTGTACAATCTTTGGGATTAACCTTTTTTCACTCACCGTTTATTCTCTGGAGATTGATCCAGATTGTTGTGCATATCAGTACTTCATTTTTGTTCCTTTCCATTCCTGAGTCTTATTCCATTGTATAAATGTACCTTTGTTTTATTTTTTAAATCAATATGGAGCATAAGCACCTTTCAAGATTATTTATTGATCAACTGCTATTTTTTTCCTTGTGAAATCCCTTCATATCCTTGGTCCCTTTTCCTACTTCACCCCTTTTTTACGAGTTCTTTGTCATAATACTAAATTCATTGTCTCAACTTCGCTTCTGATCATTTTTGCAATAAAGTTTTTTATTTTTATGCAGTCAAATGTTATTTTAATAACATCCTTATGGTTTCATTTTCCCATTAAAATCTTTAAATTATTCTAGCACAAGAAATTATGAAGTTGAGTCTTTGGATCCACTTGGAGTGTAATGCTAAAAATCAGGATGCCTGGGTTCCAGCCCTGGACATGCCATTACCTACCTAAATCACTCTGAGCAGGCTACCAGCCTGTAAAACTTGCCTTTTCTACTTACCACAATTATTTTGAGAAACAAATAAGATTATAGCTGTGAAAGAGATTCTTCAAAAATGTTCAACAAATGCCTATCAATATATGAAGAAAATTTAAAGCATTATATATAACATATATATTTGTGTTAGTTATACTACTAGTATTTCCTTTCCATGTCCCGTAACTAAAAAACTCACAATGTTAGCTTTAGAGAGTAAGTAGCTTCCTTTCCCCCAAACCCAAAGACAAAAGAGGTCAAGTGACTTGCCTAGGGTCACATGTGAAATTTGGGGAAGAGCTGGTTCCAGAAGTAAGCCCAAGCAGCTATACCCCAAACCTCCCTCCATGTTAGAGAATGCTATTCCTGATTTAAGACCTGCTAAAAATTACCTGCCATCACTTGTCTGTATTCGTATCTCTAAGAAAACAAAACTACTGCCTAAAAACAAAGACACCATTTAGGATGTGGTGGTGGAATGGGAAGGCTGAATTGCACATTATAGGTTCCCACCTTGCTTCCGACAGCCTGGGATTTTGATAAAGGCTCCATAGTCTGTCACCATAGCAACCTATAAAGACAAAAAAGGAAAAATATAAAAGGATCAATGTCATATACATAGACTCTCTTTTGTAGCATTTAACCTATACTCTGAATTTCTACTTGTTATTTGGCTGCTTCTCTCCGTCTGCTGCCAAACTGTGATGTTTTGTCAAAGTCTTTCTATTCTTTTTAAAATTGAGACTAACAGGCATGTGTGAACCCATTAAAAACATTGGTGAGAGTGGACTATTGTCAGATGGTATGACAGTACCCAGGAATGCCAAATCCACCTACTGAACTCTTCAAAGAAATAAATGAACAAAAGGAACAAACAGCAGAAATTCGGGTAATAAAGCCACACTTTGCCCTAGCTGGGATTGAGGCCTCCAATCCCAACACAGAGAACTTCAACAGTTTGGGGTAGATCATGTAGGACATCCCTTTCTCCTAAAGTTCAAATCAAAGCCAACTCTAGGTCACTTCAAACCAGAGTCTGAGTTTTATCGAGACAGAGAAAAAGCCAATACACAGACATCTCACAGAAACTGAAAAGATATAATCAGAGAGAGAAAGAGTTGTCCTCAAGTCTTGTGCAGAGCTGATCTAAGATGAAGGGGGAGAGGTCAGATCAGTCTGTATGTACTATGTAATATGTAATATTACATACGAAAGGCCCAGATCCCTTGCCAAATTATTACTCCGACTATCTCCTCCCCTCTTTCCTCTAGACCACTCCCTTCACCAGTGGATTGGGATTCCAGTTGTCACTACATACTGTATTGACCCTAAATACATTATTATTTTTGAAAAATATTCAATACCATCGTATACACATACATTTTACTATTTTCAGTGACTTCAATGAGTTGTTCACTGTTCCAGTTCACCACAACTACAACAAGGGGATAGAGTAAGACGATCCCTGCTGGACTGCTATGCACTAACACAAGAGAGGACCCAAAAAACGTAATTTATTTATAATAAAAAGTTGTGTATTTATTCTTACATGTTTAAACTTCAGTCAACATCAAAGTACTCTCCAAATGTTGCAATACACCTATCAAGACATTTTTTCCATTACTCAAAACAACTTTTTTTAAAAAAAGATTTTATTTATTTATTTTTAAAGAGGGGAAGGGAGGGAGAAAGAGAGGGAGAGAAACATCAGTAAATGGTTGCCTCTTGTGCACCCCCTACTGGGGACCTGGCCTGCAACCCAGGCATGTGCTGGGAATTGAACCGGTGACTCTTTGATTCACAGGCCAACACTCAATCCACTGAGCTGCACCAGCCAGGGCATCAAAACTGCTTTTAAACTCATAAATTTTGATGACTTTTAGTGCTTCTGCCATTTTTTTTCACCTCTTCCACATCGGCAAAACATTTCCTTTTGAGGACTTTTTTCGTGTGTGTGTGTGGGAGTGGGGAGTTGGTCAGGGCTAAATAGGGTGAATAAGGAAGGTGGGGCACTGGGGTCAAGCTGTTTTTGGTCAAAAACTGCTGAACACTCAGCACAGCGTGGGCAGGTGTACTGGTTAAGTCACCCATAATCAAATGGGCAAACACAATGAGTCTTAAAAGTTTTTTACTGAAAGCCGAACACAGCCCCTCACAACACCAGCTGGCACACTGATTCCAATGAGTTCCTGGAATACTCACCTAGGGGGAAGCCTGTACTACAAGAAGCCCACCCTCCAAAAAATAATTCTGGTTTTTTTTTGGGGGGGTCCCCCTTGTATATATTGAATACTTACTACATGCAAAACACCATTCAAAGTGCTTTACATAATCTCTTGACACCATACAATGTTGGTACTATTAATTATATCCATCTGATTGATGACAAAACTGATGCATGGAGAGACTAAGTAACCTGACCAATGTTCAAAGCTAATAGTAACAGTGCTGGGATCTGAACCTAAGGAGTCTTAGCTCACTACAGCTGCTCATTGGTTAGCTATAAAATTCCAGCAGCCAAAAGCAATGTGACAGTTGATATCGTCTCTGTCTCCTGGCAACAATCTTAGAAGGACAAATGATAGGTTCCCATGCTGCAGATGAGGTGACACAGTGGAGGTGTGGAAAGAACACAGGCTTTGGAGTGAAAGATGTGGCTTCTAATCCCACCTCTCCCACTTCTTACCTGTGGGATGTTGAGCACAAGTCACCATTCAGGGCCTAAGTTCCCACTGCACTCATTATGCTGCTGCAGATAACAAATGATGTACATGAAGCACTGGCCCTGGTATCCGGCACCCAAAGTACATTCAACAAATTTTAGCTTTTTAATAATTTACAGTCCAAGACAATGAAGCACAGAAAGGTGGGAAGGCACACAGCTAACTTAGATACAGGGTAGGCACAGATCCTAGGTCCCCTGAGTCCCAGTTCAGTGTCTCCTACATCACCAAATAGCATCATTACTCACTTCAAAATCAGGAGAAAAATTTCCATTCTCCTCATTTGTTAATGGGGATATTAGGACAGAACACTTGAAACAAATCTCCAAAATAGAGCACTTACAATGGGATAAGAACCAAAAATTTGAAACTTCTGTTTTACACTGATGAACATGCTATGCTGGAGTAGGGACCAGAGAGCTACCCCATCGCGCCCCCCCCAAAAAAAAAGAAACAGTAAAATCAGGCAGACACTAACATTTATCTATCTATCTATCTATCTATTTATATTGACTTTAAAGAGGAAGGGGAAAGAAAGAAAAAGAGAGAGTAACATTGATTTGTTGTTCCACTTATTTACGCATTCACTGGTTGCTTCTTGTACGTGCCCTGACCGGGGACTGAACCCACAACCTTGGCGTATCAGGACGACACTCTAACCAAATGAGCTACCTGGACAGTACCAGACACTAGCATTTAAAATCAAAGCAAGGTAGAACTGCGGGAAGGACCTTAGAGATTAGCTGGTCCAATCCTGTCATTTTTCAAATGAGAAAAGTGAAGATCAGAGACATGAAATGCTTACCCAAGTTCACAAAGCAATTTGTTCTCTGTAAGATAGGATCATATAGATAAAAAAAGATGATTTTAATTAAAAATATTTATTTACTTTTGGAGAGAGGGGTGGAAGGGAGAAAGAGAGGGAGAGAAACATCAATGTGAGAGAGAAATAATGATCGGTTGCCTCTCATATGTGCCCTGACCAGGACCAAACCCATGACCCAGGCACGTGCCCTGACTGGAATCAAACCGACAACCTTTCACTGTTGTGGGACAACACCCAACCAACTGAGCCACAATACTCGGGGCTGATTTTAATTTTTAATTACAATAAAAGCAAATCCCTTCTTTCTGAACTAACCAAAGGTACTTTGGCTTTTGCTCCAGGGTTCTAAAAAGAGGAGTAAGATGTTTCATATTGCGTAACATTATTAAAGGGCAAAACTATCTAACAAACTTAAAAATAGCATCTGGAAGTAGGAGCCCAAATCACCTTGCTGTTGTAAACTATGGCAATCTCATTTTTGAATCCTGAAGCTCCAGTGTCACATTTTGATCTTTTTAGGAAATATTATGACAGACCTTCCCTTGGCCTCTCCCAAAAGGAAAGGTTAATGGGCTCCAGAATGGATGCACTCAACGATTCAGTTAGGAAAAGGCATTCTTGCCTGCATCCAGCACCAGGTGTTTCCATCACTGTGTCTCCTAAGGTGCAGGCAGAGTTGAAATTAACAGAATGGCACCTGCTATAGATGATTACACAGTCTGCCCTGATGTCCCCAGAATAATTAGTTAAATAGCTCAGGGGAAAAAATTCAGTAATTATTGCAACTAGACTCAGGGCTTGGGTAAAATGAATTCACCATCTTCAGATTAGAAGTTGCATTGGCCTTGAAACTAGTTATCTCCATAATGTAAATGAGCAATATGAGGCTCAGAAGCATAAGATAATTGTGCAAAGTCACAAAGTTAGAAAGTAGCATGGCTAGGCAGGGAACAGAAGTATTTTGACTTCCAGTTCAATGCATTTCCACTTTCCAGCACCAATTTCCTCTCAGCATTTCTTTGGCTATGGCCAGGCTAAGCCAAATCCCAATTCCCACTGCTATGCCTGTGTCCCCTACCATCCTTAATGGACAGGAGAAGGATGAATAATGGCTTCTCAGCTATTCGATCACTGGGCCCCTCTGCCCTCCTGGGCCTGCTAAAGACAAGAACTGCTAGCATCAGGGCAGCACCGCCAGTCAGTGACAATGGGACCTAAGAGACTTAGGATCAATTTAAATCAAACATTTACTGAACACTTATATACAAGATGCTATGTGAAGTACTTTGAAATAAAAACAACTTTAAAAAAAGAGATGCCCAGACTATTTTAACATGAATTTGAAGTAGTTGCTAAGATACATGAGACAACCATGGCCTCTGCTCTCCAGTAACTCACAGGCTGGTGGAGGAGATATACACATATACAAGTAACAACAATTCAAGACAGACTGTAGTTAATGCCATAACAGAGATACAAATAAATGACTGTGGAACAACCAGATTTACCATCTAACTTCCTTCTACACTTCAATTCAGTTAAGAGTTCTCTCACAGATCTTTCAGTTTTCCATGCATTTACGCACAGTTAACCCCAGCTACAGTGTAGCAGAAAGCAGACTTGGAGAGAGCACTTCAGAAACCCAGCTTTGCCACTTATTAACCATTTGGACATAACTTCTGAGAAGTTTCCTTATCCAGAAAAGGGGTTAACAATTTCTTAGGAGAGAGAATGACAAAATGTGTCAAAATGCTGATTTACATTAGGCTTATAAAAACTTTTTTTAAAGATTTTATTTATTTATTTTTAGAGAGGGAAGGGAGGGAGATAGAAAGAGAGAGACATCAATGTGTGCTTGCTGGGGGTCATGGCCTGCAATCCAGGAACGCACCCTGACTGGGAATCGAACCTGCGACACTTTGGTTCACAGCTCGTGCTCAATCCACTGAGCTACACCAGCCAGGGCTTAAAACCTTTTTTTTTTTTTATTTTAATGTAACCACGTCTTCTTTGTGAATATTAGATACTCATTAAATGTTTGTTCGGATGAATATTTTGAAAAGTTTATTTCCAATTTATCATAAAATTTCTCTGTCCCTAATTCTGGTAACTTCTAAACCATTATTTTTCAAAATGTGCTCCTGAAATACTAAGCTGGAACCATGAAGTTCTCTCTGAACATTAGTCTAGCCCATCCACCCTGACAGTAAAATATAAAGCCTACCCTAATACAAGCCCCATCTCATATAAGAAAAAGCTGTAGGTCAGGAGCCACTTCGCCATTAATCCGAGTCAGTCTGTCGAGGTCAGAGGACTCCCTTTTGTGTAACAGCTGACAAGTCAGGACTTCGTGATCGGAAAAATCCATTTCATCTCTAATACTACCACTTCCTTTCCTGAGCCCTGGTACGTTGACCTTTAGGGACACTATGGGCCTTAAAGGACAAAGGCTCTAAGAGCAGAGCTGTTTGCTATTTGTTAGAATCTATCACCCTTTGTATCATGACTGTTACACTACAAGTTGGGACCAACTTAACAGAAGCCAAGAGCCACAATTATCTATAACCAATTGGCAGTCACAAAGTGGGTCTTCAAAGGCCTCACATTATTAGGAGGTGAAAATTTATCAACCACAAAGCAAGCAAAAATGTCATAAAATGATAGTTAAAATACTACAGTTATTCATAAGACACTGAAAACAATTTTTTGGCTTTATGTTTGCTTCAAGAGAAAAGAGATAGAGTGATAACGTTAATGAATTCCTACCTTGTCTCAGGCATTGTGTTTTTATAGATGACAGCTTATTTAAAGCTCCATGGCAATCCTCTGGAAGTAGTTCTCTCAATTTAATAAATAAGAAAGCTGCCCTGGCTGGTGTAGCTCAGTGGATTGAGCGCAGGCTGTGAACCAGGCATCGCAGGTTCAATTACCTGTCAGGCCATATGCCTAGGTTGCAGGCCATGGCCCCCAGCAACCACACATTGATTTTTTTTTTCTCTCTCTCTCCCTTCCCTCTCTCTAAAATAAATAAAATCTTCAAAAAGAAGCTAAAGTACCTCATAATTTGATAGAACTTTAAATATTAAAAAAATAATAATAAATAAAAAATAAATAAATAAGAAAGCTGATGCCCAGGCTGGTGTGGCTCAGTGGATTGAGTGCTGGCCTGCGAACCAAATGGTCGCCAGTTCAATTCCGAGTCTAATGCACATGACTGGGCTGTGGGCCAGGTCCCCAGTAGGGGGCATGCAAAAACCAACCACATAGGCCTGGCTGGCGTAGCTCAGTGGATTGAGCATGGGCTGCGAACCAAAGTGTTGCAGGTTCGATTCCCAGCCAGGGGTACATGCCTGGGTTACAGGCCATGACCTCCAGCAACCACACATTGATGTTTCTCTATCTCCCTCCCTTTCCTCTCTAAAAATAAATAAATAAAACCTTTAAAATATATATTAAAAAAAAAACCACACACTGATGTTTCTCTCCCTCTTTCTCCTTCCCTTTCCCTCTTTATAAATAAATAAATAAAATCAGCTCTGGCTGGTGTAGCTCAGTGGATTGAGCATGGGCCTGTGAACCAAAGGGTTGCTGGTTTGATTCCCAGTCAGGGAACACGCCTGGGTTGAGGGCCCAGGTCCCCAGTAGGGGTTGCGTGAGAGCCAACCACACATAGATATTTGTTTCTTTCTCTCCCTCCCTTCCCTTCTCTCTAAAAATAAATAAATAAAATCTAAAAAGGAAAAAGAAAAAAGAAAGCTAAGGCTCAAATGATCAAGTGACAGTGTGAAGGATCACACAGTAAGTAAAAAGCTAGGACTGGAGTCTAGGTTTTGTCTTATTCAAAAGTCTTTACTCTAAAAACAAATACAGTGCGTTGTCCCTCAAAGTCTGACCATTCACTCAGTCATCAAGAAATACTGAGAACCTATCACTTTCTACCCACCTAACTGGGGCTTAGACAACACTAAACAAAACAGACAGGGCTCTGCCTTCATGGAGTTAGCTTAGTGTCATGTGAGGAAAAAAGACACGTTAAACAAGTACACAGATAAACGCAGGATAAATCTATTTACTTAGGTAAAAAAAAAAAATCTCTTGAGATGACATTATATCTAACACCTAAGAGAGAAGTTGGTGGGAAAGTGTGGCTAGAAGCAAAAGTACGCGCAAGTCCTGAGAAGGAAGCAAACTCAGAATGTTTCGGGCTGTAAGGAGGATAGAGTGGCTAGGAACGAGTACAGCAGGAGAGAACAACACTGTCAGACTAGGTAGAAGCTACGTTATACAGGGTCACAAAAACAAGTCTAGATGTATTCAAGGGTAGTCAGAAGCCTCGAAAGCAGCACTGTCCAAATCTGTTTTTAAAGTGTTATTCTGGCTATGATGTAAAGAACAGATGGCAGAGGGCCTATGATAAAAGGAGAGTTCCTAGTAGTGGCCAGGGAAGAGGTGGAGAGCCTGAACAGTGTACCACAGCAAAGAAACATACAGCCCAGATATATATCTGGGAGGTCGAAATGATAGGACTTGCTAATGGGCTCCAGAGGGAGGGAAAATCAAGATCAATTCAAGAGAAAAAAAAATCAAGGATGATGTCCAGATTTCTAGCGTGGGCACCTGAATAGTTCAAAACATAAATCAGAGATGCTGTGAGGTATCCGAATGAGGATGTCAAGTATGCAGCTAGAAGTCTGGAGCTTAGAAGGGGCACAGGTGACAGCCAGATGCTCCACTAGCCCTTCCCGTTTAAACTGTGATATTCACTATATTCTAAAATGGACAAGAGTTCCAAACCCAGAGGCTTTTCACCCTCAATCTATGCTTAACAAAAAAAAAAAAAGTAAGTTTTCAAAAACAAAAAAATATACCTCTCCTTGGAAGATAGTGTAGAGAGCAGGCAAGTTCTCCATGGTCTCGGGTCTTCCTGAATTCATCCTTAGTGTTCTATGGCTCCTCCATATCTCTTCTGCTAAAGCTAATTCAAGTGTTCTGCCACAAAGAAAGAAGCCAGACAACAATGTGAGAGACATCTGTATTAAGGAAGAAAACTGCAGACAATCCAGGCTACAGAATAATTAATATAGGTCTAACACATGTGCTTTCATCTAAATCTCTTTTGTGTATTCCATTTGTGGGGAGTTTTGGAAACCTTGATCTTATTTCTTTTCAATTTGTTACTTACCCAAGGGCATTAATCTACTGTTGTCTCTTGTGTTTTAATTGCTACTGTTGGTATTCTTTTGCCAAGGGAAGGTTTGTGGGGGAGGGCAGTATAAATGGATCTTTAAAAAAGGAAAACTGTAGTAATAAGAGCTAACATTTATCAAGCACTTACTATGTCCAGGCACTCATTTAATTCTCAAAAACAGCAAGATAGAGGTTCTATTATTATCATGTTATGCAGATGAGAAAATCAAAGCTTCCAGAGGTCAAATTACTATGCCTATGTCAAAAAGCCAGAAAATGGTAGAGTCAAACTCTGGCTGATACCAGAGACCACACTTTTAATCACTATGCTAGGTGTTAAATCTGAAATGACTTCAAAAGAGAAAGAATAGTTTACTTTTCCTGATAAAATTAAAAACACACATGCTCATTTTATAAGGTTAGATAGTACATGAATAATAAAGAAAATAATTTATAATTCAATTTTATTTATATCCTTTTATACTTTTTTATATATAGTGTTTTAATGGAATTGTGAAATCATTAATCATTAATTAACAGCCATTTTCTTAACATATTTGAGCAATTCTTACATACAAATATACACACACTTATTTTTTTAATGCCTACATAATAACCCATTGTTAGAGATACCAAATTCATGTAACTATTTGTGGATCATGTTAAAATACAGACTACAATTCTGAGGTGGTACCTGAGACTGTACACATCTAACAAGCTCCTAAATGATAGTTATTCTGCTTTGGGAACAAGTCTTACTGCTTTGGAGTTGAATGGGCATTCCTTAGAGGTGCTCTTGCCCAGCTCCCTGGTTTTAAACAGAGGAAATTAGCAATCTAGGGGCTCTCAACCATGCCCCTTTACTCTGCTGGACAGATCCTCGGTTCTCTTTTTTCCTCCCAATTATACTTGGCACCATTAACACTTGAGACTATTTTCCTTAAGTTTTCATAAGCAAATACTTTCTTCTCTCCTCAACTCTAACTGCCACCCCTCACTTTCAGATGATGACTTAGGGTCCTGTTTTTTAACTCTTCCTGATTTACAATCACCATCCATTAACTAAACCGTCTTGCCTGAAACAGAACTAAAAGCAAATCCTGTCAGCCTTCCAAATCCTGGTTCTAGTATCACCCAATGCCCACGAACATCCCTGTCCTTGAGTTCCATAAGACAACCTTGTATCCTTATCATAAACTTTCCCTTTCTGGGTTAGGTCAGCCAGAGGTGTGTATTATTACTCTACAAATAGTGCACAGACAGAATGCAAGCAGATTTGTCAGTTCTTAAGAAACAGCTGATAAGCAAGTTAAATCCAAGTACCATAGCTTGGTTGAATCCTTCCTTCCATTTCCCAGCTATGCAGTCTCAACTCTAGTACTTCCCTTCTCTCTGCCCAGCATCTTTCACATCACATCCTAAAACAGAAGTCATTAATCTGAGGTCAAGGGTTCTGTCAAAAAACCTTCCACCTTGACTGCTGTAGCTCAGTGGATTGAGCGCAGGCTACAAACCAGTCAGGGCACATGCCTGGGTTGTGGGCCAGGTCCCCAGTGGGGGCCATGTGAGAAGCAACCACACAGTGATGTTTCTCTCCCTCTCTTTTTCCCTCCCTTCCCCTCTCTAAAAATAAATAAATTAAACCTTTTTAAAACATTAAAAATAAAAATACAGTTTTGTTTTGTTTTTTAAATCATCCCTCCAACTCGTAGAGCATTAGTGAGGTACAGGATCCACAGAGGCAGCAGCAGGTGGGATATCTAAATGAGCTCAAATACATGTATCTCAGTCTCACCTGCTCCTCCAACAGAAAGGTTGTGGAAAGACAGTAACAATGGAAACAGTCTTAAGTTGTTTCTTGTTTATTTCTGCTGGGATAAGAATATGAGCAGCTAAGTTTAAAGTTCTCTTGTTTGCTCCTTCTGTAGAAGAGTAGCCTGAGAAATCCTATGCAATTCTTTTTTTTTAAAAGATTTTATTTATTTACTTTTAGAGAGGGAAGGGAGGGAGAAAGAGAGAGAGAAACATCAATGTGCGATTGCTGGAGGCTATGGCCTGCAACCCAGGCATGTGCCCTGACTGGGAATCGAACCTGTGATGCTTTGGTTCTCAGTTCACGCTCAATCCACTGAACTACACCAGCCAGGGCTATGCAATTCTTTAAGAAGGAAACCAGCAGCATTTTTGAGGGAAGCCCTGAAGTGTAACAATATATGTTTACAATTCAGGAAAGTAGAGGGTTGTCATTTTTTTTTAATGGGATTACAAATTTTTTTCATACTATGTTCTATAGTATTAGGATTCTATGATGGTTATTCAGAAGCTCCTTAGGAAATTCAACTTTATTTTTTAAAAAGTCAATTCTGAAAAATCTAGGGGGCATAGGGCTTAAGAGAGCCAAAGAGGTAGGGGTCTAGGCCAACCAACCAGAAGAGAGCCTCTACATCAAAGGTGCAAGGAGCAGAATCTCGAAGAAACCAGAACCGGGGGAGGTCCCAGTCAAAGCATTTGGAAAGCTGGATGGCTCAGTTGATTGGAGTATCATCCCAATACACCAAGGTTGTGGGTTCAATCCCTAGTTAGGACACATATAAGAATCAACCAATGTCCTGGCTGGTGTAGTTCAGTGGATTGAGCGAGGGCTACGAACCAAAGTGTCGCAGGTTCGATTCCCAGTCAGGGCACATGCCTGGGTTGCAGGCCATGACCCCCAGCAACCACACGTTGATGTTTCTCTCTCTTTCTCCCACCCTTCCCTCTCTAAAAATAAATAAATAAAATCTTTTTAAAAAAAGAATCAACCAATGAATGCATAAATAAGTAGAACAACGTGAATCGATGTTTTTCTCTCTCAAGTCAATCAATCAATAAGTAAATAAATAAATAGAATTTAAAAGGGGGAAAATAAAAAAATAGGCATAGGTCAATTATTACTGATTCACACTTGCCTTCCCAGCCTTGGGTGGGCTATGGTAGCAAGTAGAGGTTACAGGAGGAGGAACTATTTTTAACAGTATATTCTGCTTTGATCCAGCTTACCTATTAAGTTTCTGTGTTAAGATTTTATTTGGGGGAAATAAAGTTGTTTTGCTTTAAAAAATGTTTATAATAGTCCTGACCAGTGTGGCTCAGTTAGTTGGGAGACATCCCACGAAGTGAAAGGTCGCTGGTTTAATTCCTGGTCAGGGCACAAGTCTGGGATGTGGGTTTGGTCCCTGGCTGGGGCATATGTGAGAGGCAACCAATTGATGTTTCTCTCCCTTTTTCCCTCACTTCCCTTCTCTTTAAAAACAAATAAATAAAATCTTTTTTTTTAAAAAAGGTTTATAAAACACTGACATACAGTCCAGGCAGATCGGATCATATCTATAGACTTAAAAAAGCAAGTAAATTGACAAAGATTGAGATGCACCATTTGGTGTTGCTTTGCAATAGTTCCAGAAACAGAACATCTTCCTTATGCACTTCATTTTACTTGAATGTTTTAAACTATAACATGTAGGAAAGCAATAAGGACCCAATTACTGGGCATTCCCTTCCCAAAGCAAGGGGCAGAGCAAGGAAAGAATGAATAGTAGGTATAACGGGAATGGCAGCAGAGAGTAAAGCCAAAATCTAGGTTGGATGAGCAGGACATCTGCAAAGAAGAGCAACCCAGTGTGGGGAGGAATGGGGTGATGAGATCATCCATTCATCGGGCAGTCTGGAACAGCGAATCAGTGACCAAGCACGGAGAAGCAGGGCCTGAGTAAGGCAATGTTAATTTTCTGATTTTAGTAATTACTTCATGGTTATACAGAAGAATGTCCTAGTTTGTAGGAAACCTAAAGTATTCAGGGGGGATGGGACATTAGGTCAACAACTAAACTCTCAAATGATTCATAAGAAATGTTATTTGTACTGTACTTCCATAATTTTGTGATTGTTTCAAAGTTTTTTGTAATGTGCATGCAACTGGAAGAAAAATGACTACATCCTGTCTCCCCTCTTCTCAAGCAAAGAGAAGTTCATAGAACAATATTACATTGATAAGGTACATCACAGCCCCTTTGGGACATCATTTCATGTGCGCACTTACTGATCTGGCCAAGGTTTTTGTTGTTTTTAAGTTTGTTTGGATTTAGATTTGTTACTGTTACTTAACAGTACTGATTGGATAGAACCCTGAGCATTAAAAGGAATTTTAATCCATCTTTAACCTATGTACACGAATTGAGATAAGTTGGTAAGTAAAAATACTGGGATATGAGCAGAGACAGAATGCCTACAGAACCTGCATTCTCAACCACTATTCTCCACCGCCTCAAGAAGAATTCACACTCCACACCTAAACTTCATAGCATATAGCTCTAACACTAAATAGGCCCCAATCAAGAGGGCACCATTCACAGAGGAGGCAACAATGAGCCAGGGCTGGATTCATTCATCCAAACATGTATCCAGGACCATTTCTCATTTGGTTTTGTGTTCCCAATGCCTGGTAAACAGTAAGTACCCCAAGTTTTCTTGAACTAGTGAACAGAGCCTTACTATGTGCCAAACCAAGGTAGAGAAAGGAGGAAGAAAGCATTCTGGTCTGAAGAATGCAGAAGAAGCCACTGAGTTCCATACACTACTCTGGACAGATCAGAAAATGGGAGACTTTCAAAACCCAAACTAATGGTCTAACCTTCCTCCTTCCTGCCTCATTTCTAGAGCAATTAATTATCTTAGAGCAATGCTACTTCTTTCCTGAACCCTAGTCATGGATCTGTTAGAAAATGGTCAAAATTGCATGAAAGAGAAAGAATAGTAAAAAGTTT